GGGGTTTGGGCCCCCCCTGCCTCTGGCTCCCGCATGGGTCCGTTGGCTTCGGCACTCTTGGCAGTCATTGTCTCCGGCTTGGTTGCTCTTCCTGCGGGGCGAGGAGGAGAAAAAGGAGAAGAGGCATCACTTGATGGATCTGGGTGTCTGCAAGCCCGGGATGCTGGGAGCATGGGGAGCACAGGGACACTGGGAACACAGGGATGCTGGGAGCAGGAGGAGCATGGGAACACCAGGAACATGGGGATGGTGGGAACATGATGGGACGTGTTCTCTGCTATGGAGACAGACCTGCGGGGCGAGGAGGAGAAAAAGGAGAAGAGGCATCACTTGATGGATCTGGGTGTCTGCAAGCCCGGGATGCTGGGAGCATGGGGAGCACAGGGACACTGGGAACACAGGGATGCTGGGAGCAGGAGGAGCATGGGAACACCAGGAACATGGGGATGGTGGGAACATGATGGGACGTGTTCTCTGCTATGGAGACAGACTGAGAGACATGGGGCTGTTCAGCCTGGAGAAGACAAGACTCCAGGGAGAACTTCCAGCACCTTCCAGTACCTAAAGGGGCTACAGGAAAGCTGGAGAGGGGCTTTGGATAAGGGCGTGGAGTGACAGGACAAGGGGCAATGGCTTTGAACTGAAAGAGGGGAGATTTTGATGAGATCTAAGGAAGAAATTCTTCCCTCTGAGGGTGGTGAGGCACTGGAACAGGTTGCCCAGAGAAGTTGTGGCTGCCCCATCCCTGGCAGTGTTCAAGGCCAGGTTGGATGAGGCTTTGAGCAACCTGGTGTAGTGGAAGGTGTCCCTGCCCATGGCAGGGGGGTTGGAACTGGATGATCTTGAAGGTCCCTTCCAACCCAAACCATTCCGTGATTTTCTGACACAGGGACACGGGGATGCCAGGAGCAGGGGGGACCCTGAGCCCATGTGCTGCAGCACATCAAGGACCAGCAGCTTTGCTCTCCCCCCTTGCCTGCCAGCTTCTCTCCAGTTACTTCCCTCTCCCTGCTCGAGAGCAGTGGAAGGGCCAAGGGGCTCCCTCCAACTCCACTGCCAACCCCCCAAAACTCATATCCCTAAACCCCCGGAGTGTCCCAGGGCAGCCAAGATGGCTGCGACCCCACTGCACCAGCACAGAGGCTCCACATTTTTGGCATCTGGGGATGGCCAAAATGACCTGACCTGAGCCACCGAGTCCTACACCTGGAAAAGGAGCCACCAGCCAGCCCGGCAAGATGGCAGCGAGAGCAGGGGCCATTTATTTGCCAACTGGGGAAACTGAGGCACGGCTGTACGTGAAATGCAACCTGAAGGTTTCATGCTCCTGCATCAAAGGAGCACTGCAGCTCTTGTTTGCTCCACTTGCTATCCAAACACAACCTTAAAACCCTAACCCAACACCCCATCCTCCTCCAGCCACTTGTCAGACCACGGGACCCACCAACCCAGCACTCCCACGGGATTTTTACTGAAAGAGGTGGTTTTTTCCCCAATCTGCTGCTGTCTCCTGCTTTTGGGGACACCGACCCGCTCAGCACACCCGCGGCGCCCTGCCCACCCCGAGATAAAGCCATGCATCCAGGGATCTATGGGTATTTCATTTTATCCAGTACCTTGTTTCCCAGATGAGGTGTCGAAGTTGCTGCCAAAACCAGCCGGCGACCAGCCTGGCAGGGAATCGTCAACTGGGCTCCCCCGGGGCGCCCCGGGTTAGCCCCCCCCCGCCGATACGGGGACGCTTAAACCACGCTCTGAACGTCTCCCAGCCCGAAAACATCTTTAAAAAAAAATAAAAACACCCTCATATTGCCAGGAACCCCCGTCCCTGCAGCCCGGCTCTTTGCCGCAGGGGCAGCAGCGGGGTGGCTGTGCCACCCGGGCAGGACGGCGTGTCTGTGCCCTCGTCCGCAGCTCCTGGCACTGCCGGGGCCAGCGTGGGAACAGGGAGCGCTGCGGGAGGGGGCAAAAAAAAGCGTTGGGGCAGCGTAGTGACAATGATATCCAGCAATTAAAAGCCAAAAATTAAACCCAAGGAGGAACCCCCCGGTAAGAGGGGGGTGACCGCTCTAATTTTACTCCCCGAGATGAATGAAGTGCCGAGAGCCAGTGACCAGCATCGCCCACGGCAGAAAAATAACACACTAAGGGTTTTTTTGTGCTTTTTTTTTTTTTTTTCCCCAGTCTTAATCATCTTAAGGTGTTATTAGCATCAGAGGGAAGGAATTAAAGATATGAGTTCCAGGATGACAGCGTGTTCCTGGCACAAGGCTGTCAAGCTGTGACAATTTGAATAAGGGAGATTTAAAGGCCAAAGAAAAGAATAAAAGAAAAAAAAAAAACAAGAAAAAATGAAGCCCCAAACAAACCCCCTCATTCCCCCCAACCCCCCGCCCCGCGGCTGAGCGGGGTCGGAGCTTTCTGTAAACTGAGGCGATAATCCTGCGCTGCCGAGGGGGGGACACCATAAACTCCCCAAAATGGTCACCCCGGATGTTAAAAAGGAGGTTTGAAATATTTCGGTATTAAAGGGAAACAACCGGGCACTCAAACACATCCCCAAGACTGTTTGAGGTTTTTTTGCCTCCAAACACCCTGATTTAGGTCCCGTCCCAGCTCTCTCTAATTACCACCTTAAATTCAACTTCTCTTAAATTTATATTAAACCCTTTCAATGCCTCACTGGCTACTTCGGGATCAAAAAAAAGTAAAACCTCCCAAAGCGCAGGAGCAGAGCAAAGGCTCTTTGATATCATCTGGGGTGGGGGGAAGAAATGTGACCCCCCCCAGGGCTCACAGCCCCCAAAGTCACCCTGAACACCCACATCCACCTCCCCACCTCCCCAGCGAGCCTCAGCCGAGCCTCTTTAATCCCAATTCCGCCGTTTTCTCCTTTAAACACCTGGTTAAAACCTCCTCCACCCTGGTGGAGCCCAACCAGCGCCCGCAGGGACCATGAGCATCTCCCACCCCAGGGTCCCACCCCGGGTGCTACGTTGGGTGCAGCTGACATTCACCTGGGCCGTGCTGGGCTGCTCTTCCCATGATTTTGGGGTGGGAGCGCAGGAGATGGGGTGCTTAAAAACAGGTGCAGCGGGAGCAGAGGATGCCCATCCACCCCTACATCCATGGGGAACCCAGATCCCATTCCTCCCTCCCCCTCCTCTCCCTTTTCCCTGGATCCAGGGATGGGGATACAGGGAAGAGGGGACAGGAAGATGCTGGCAATTTGGCTCCAGGCAGGGAATCCCCTTCGCCCCCTCCCCAGTGCCCCCCTCCAGCCACCGTTCCTGTCCCAAGCACCTCTCCCTGGATTTCCCTGCCTGCTTTCTGAAGTTGGAGCATTTAATTGCTCATCGCCGGGGCTGGTTGTTCCCAGAGTTCAAACCCATTATTTTTATTAATAGAATCCCCAAGGTTATATAAGCTCTTAAAAAAAAACATATAAAAAAATTAATATAAAGCCCAGCGTTGCCATCCAATTCCGTAACTCGCAGACGCCGACACTCACGCGAAGGGATTAATTCAACGTCGGAGCAGCGGCGTTAGACACGGCTCAGCCGGAGGGCAGGACCGGAGGGTCCCGAGGGGGCTGCCCAGGCAGGGGGACAACCCGGTCCCTTGGCTGGGACAGGCGCTGGCTCGGGGTGCCCCTCCTCCCAGTCACCCCCCTCCAGCCTGGACCCGTCGCCTCCGGTTTTGAGGTTTCTATTCCCGGTGGGATGGAAGGACAGTGTAGAACCGTCGATGCCGTTGGCGTTGGAGAGCGAGACGAGGGCTCTGCCAGGTTGGGGGTTAAGCTGCCAAGC